AGAGAGAGAGAGAGAGAGAGAGAGAGAGAGAGAGAGAGAGAGAGAATAGGTAAGTCTCGGGCCTGGCAGCTGACCTCATTCTACTTCCATCCATAGGATGAGCAAATCGCATGAATCTACCGCTAGAACATGGAGATATACACTGCCACACTTACAAGAGAGAGAGAGAGAGAGAGAGAGAGAGAGAGAGAGAGAGAGAGAGAGAGAGAGAGAGAGAGAGAGAGAGAAATTCCCCTGAGTGCCTCCAACCGGGACAGGGGCACACTGAAAAGATCTATTGTACCGGTACCTGCATTTCGGAAATTTTCTCAACGGCTATCCGGTAGGGGCACTATGAACATATGAGGCCCAAACGGCACCAGGTTTTTATGGAAATTTTTACTTCTGGTCAGAGGGGCGCGACGCAAATTAATGGAAAATACAGGGACGCCAGACAAATTTCCCCTAAACAAATTACCGACACCGTACAAATCCAATAAAATAAAATAAACCAATTTCTTTTTTTCCCCCTTTTTTGGAAAACACTGTTCATTGTATAATGAAATTCCACTGGGGCGAGGTCCCACTAGCAACGGGATAGGATAGAAAAGAGTTTGTGGGGCATAGTTGAGTGACCCAAATCCTGCCGTGCAGTACTCGTGATCCCACGGTCAGTATTTTACATGTATTACCCGAAAAAGTAAGGAGATCTTCATTCCCCTCCTCCTCTCCTTAACACTGGGCATGCCCGTGCAAAGACAACTTCGCGCCAGAATCTTTTCAATCGGTTGGGGGTGTGGCCAACCCCAAAGGCGGGTGGGGTTGGCCTTAGGCCCACTGGATATAAGATTTTCAGTATTTTACTTGCTGTTGTGCAATTACCTCATTGGTTGGAGCCCTCCTTCAATCACGGAGTATACGGAGGGTTTTAGGATCAGTGCTGACAGAAGTCAAGTTTATTCCAGAAAATGTGGTGGTTACTTTGTTCACTGTTGTTGCAACCACCACCATCAGATCATTTGTGATCTGATGGCTGGGAAGCACTCTGCCATGATTTCCGGTGGGCGGTCTCTGTTTCTTTTTTTTTTTTTTTGCCTTTCTCCTGTTTTCTCAGCCCAGAAATTCATAATGAACCTGTCTGGCAGCTGCCACTCAGTGTCACACTGGATCGGTCACACTCCTATCCGACTGCTAATGGGACCTCGCCCCTGGAGGTCGTGGACCTCACAATTCTACCCCGTGTATACTGGGGCCATTACCCAGCTTCAGCTTTGCTGGAAACCTTGTCCAGGGGCTCAACAGAAGTCCAACTTTGGCCAAAATTATCTTCATGAGACCTGTATTCTAGACTTCCACTTTGGCCCACATTAACCCCAAAACAGATCTCTATTCTCAACATTCTCACTCACTGATTCTCAAGGAAGCCTGAACCGCCTAGACGGGTTTCCCACCACGCACTCTTGGACCTTTAATGAACAACGATCAATGGGTTAAGATCATCATCGATACAGTTCAAGTCTGCTTCCTCTCCTGCTCATGCTTACTATTCTTATAATCACTACCGTCAACTAGAGCTTCCACCAATGCCGATCGCACCCACACTGCCCCCGTAGTGCCGCTGCCGGTAATCAAAATGTCACATCACCGTTCATATTGTTGTTGAGTGGCTGACGGAAATTGTGTCTTCCAGAAACCTCATCAACCCAACTAACTACAACACTAACATGCAACCCCGAAGCAAACAGGACCAACTACATCCGAGTCCACCTGGTTAAGTAAGTTATAAAATTAAGAATGAAAAATAAAAAAATCCGAGTCTACTCTTTAGAAACCAAAACTACACAAATGGACATACAAATATAGAACAGCAAGGTACTGCATAGGTAAGGAGTTTGAGCACACCGCGACATCCAACGAGGTCCAATTACAGCAACTGCTAAGCATTCACAGTCTAATCATCGTGCAATAACCTGGCCTGAAATATTACCAGGTTCCCTGTGAATATAGGGAGATCTGAAATAGAGCCCGGTAAAGCACCAGTACACCACAAATCGGTCCGCGGGTGTCAGCACGAAACCCGCACCACTTCGGTAGATACATGGTCAAGGAAGGCAAGCAAAACGGAAAAGATATGTTCAAAATGTTCTTAGATATTCACAGGCTGAAGGAGTTGAGCAGTTATATCTTTCTTAGTTTGGCCACCTTTTATTGAGCTCCAAGGATTTGAGTAGATACATGATACATCTTTCTTAGGGCCTCGCCGGACGGTGCAAACGAAACGACCTTGAAACTCGTGAGGCCTCGCGAGGCTGAAAATCACCGTTTCGTTTCATTTGTTGCACCACCGCCGCATGGCACACGCGAAATCACTCGCGGATACGCCCTGACAAGTGTTGAGGTGCCTGACTTTCGCAAATGCTAATTTTTTTTTGGACCGACATCCCTTGGACGTACGTGCTGCAGCCCTTGGACCGACTTGCTGCACTCGCGAGGATTCGCAGCTCCTCGACCGGCCTCGGGAGGACCTACGACTCTTCGCGTGTTGCAGGCGGGCATGGACCTAGGCCTCGGGATGACCGTCCGTTGTATTCGGGGGAAGAAGGTAGTGGGGCGAGGCAGCAAGAAACAGGATAAGACGCAGCTTCCTGGCTGCGAATTGCAGCATCTCCAACGCAGGGTCATCAAATAATGGGCCTCGCTCAGCTACTCTGGACATGCACACAAGACAAAAATCATGGGGGCGTATCTTTCCATGTTCTAGCTGAAGATTCACTCTCGTTTTGCACATTTCGAGAGTAGTGGAGCGAGGCCCAATGACTGGATAACGCCATCGTTTTTCTCTCAAATAGTTTTCTGATTTGTGATTCGTTTTTAATTAAGCCCTTGTCCCACAATCAAAGAGGGTTGGATTTAGTTCCTGAATCTGGATGTGTTTGTGGAGACATACAGAACATTGAGGGTTGGATATATTCCTGAATCAGTGAATCCGGATGCGTTTTGTGGAGTGATGCAGAAAAGCAGATCAATCACAATTTTCTGTTTCTCTCCACAAGCACATCCAGATTCAGGAATTAAATCCAATCCTCTTTGCTAGTGGGACCAGGCCCTTATCCACTGTTCCAGTCCGTACTTGAAGATGTTCTTACCACGGACAAACAGGAGCAATTGCGAAAAAAAAAAAAAAGAAAAAAAAAAAAAGAGGCGAAGTTCGATTACCTCCTCCTACAAAGGATCAATTGCTGCTTAAAAAAAAAAAAGAAAAAAAAGTGAAAAAGTGAAACTCTGGCTACCTCCTAACGCAGTGACACATGTCGTGGAGGAGATCAGCCAGGACCTGTTTCTTAGGGCCTCGCCACACCAATGTCGAAACTCGAGTTTTCGACATTTTTTCTTTGCCACACAGACTGTCGAAGAAAAAATGTCTAAAGTTTTTGGACAATGGTCAGAAAGGTGGTTTCGACAGCCCGCCTGCAGCGGGTCCAGCTTCCACATCACGGAGACGAGGTGTTGAAGGATGTGCTGATTTCGACATCTATGCCTCAAGATCCCCTGTCTTCTTCTTCTTTTTTTTTGTTTTTTTCTTCTTCTTTTTTTTTGTTTTTCTTCCCTTTCCTAGAAACGAAACTGCGGTGTGGCGAAGGCGGCCATTGTGTTGAAACGGTGAATGTCGAAAGTGGTCTGACAGTTGTCAAAAATTTCACCGTTTCGACATTGGTGTGGCGAGGCCCTTACTATTTTCATTTCGTTCAGAATTTCATACAAAAAATCCAAACAGAGGTTTCATAACACATACGGCTTAGGTTACCTTCCAGTGAAAGCCAAATTAGGGCCTCGCCACACCAATGTAGAAACATCACGAAATTCGACATATGTCAGGAAATTTTCAACGTTCCCTCTTTCGACAGAAAAACCCTCTTCGCCACACAGCATGACGAAGTGAAGAACTCACGAGTCCTATGCACAAAAGAGTCCAAAACTGGGGTGAAGATAGGACAAGCCTTGGTGCGTTCTCTTTTTCGACATTCGGGCAAGAATTCGACATTCCATCCGAGGACTGTTGAAAATGTCCAAGTTGCAGGCCTGAAGTGGAAACGAGCGCTTCTCGACAGGGGGTGTCGAAACCCTTTCCCTGACAGCTCCTGAATTTTTTCTGCATCTCGGATTTCGACATGCTCTGGGTCTCGCTGCACTACTCTCCACTCTCCGGGAAATCGGAGAGTATGCGGAGAGTTGGGTCATAGCTGCACTAACTCTACAAACGCAGACTCTACACCTATCGAGGGTACAAAACGACAGCTCAAAGTCCCCGTTTGTCTGCCCAGACTCAAGGTTCACTCTCCAGATCCAGACTCAAGGTTCACTCTCCAGATTTGGAGCAAATCGGTGGTTCCTTCGAAGGTCTATCCTCTCCGAGTTTGATTGGCCTTTCCAATCATCTCTAGTTTTCACTAGAGGTTAGACTATACCTGTATCTCACCTCGTAGGCCGAAGGCGGCGCGTCTACCCTTTCCATCTTCATATGCTAGATCCAATACGACTAGGAGGCAGAGTAACGGATTTTGCAGGCTTTTGTGGTTTCTGACAGCTCTCCGAATTTCATTTGGGGTTCTAAAGTAGAGTTAGTGCAGCTATGCATAACTCTCCGAATTTTCGCGAAGTAGAGTAGTGCAGCGAGACCCGCTGTGTGGCGAGGAGAAAATGTAGAAAATGCGGTTTTCGACATTGGTGTGGCGAGGCCCTACCTGACTGACGGAGGTGCATATAATGCAACTTTTCAATGACTTGTTTTGTCTCTCTCTGTATGACAATTCAATTGTTTACGGATTGTCATTTCAAATGGTTCTCTAGACATCTTATCGATATGAGGTGATCGTAACAGTGTAAATAACCTGCGCGTTTTCGGTAGTCTGACGCGTCTGCCATCACCGCTTCGTTCACAGCCGAGGCCATTCGTCTCTACTTACGTCCTGCGGTCAGTGCAGTGTGCGTAGCATTCCCGTTTACATCATCATCCTCGTTGTTCCGTCATCCTGATGCTGGAAACACTCCCTTTACCTGACCAGGCTGGACAACAACGGCAGTTCTGCCGCTATCTCGGCGCTCCTCCATCTCTGCGCAGTTTATTTCCGCAACTTCGCCGAATCATAACAGGTGTACGGCTTTCGTCCACGCAACTAGCGCGCTCATCCTCTCTCTCTCTCTCTCTCTCTCTCTCTCTCTCTCTCTCTCTCTCTCTCTCTC